CGTAATTGTAAGGCTTGGCATGGTTCTCTCAGAACACACTGCAATGGAAGCCCAACCTGAAGGATGTTTACAACTGAGACCCAACATCCAATTTCATCCCCTCACACTTATCTGCCTACCGCTTATCTTCACTGCAGCACTGCTGTGCTTATCAGTGCACTGACCCCTGCTCCTCCACAAGCGGACATGAACACATTCCAGAGCCCCATTGACCACAGAGGAACTGAACATGGCAAACATGCAGCATTAGGAGAAAGCCACTGCGAGCTCTTCTAACCTAGGGTCAAGCACACTGACACAGGAAGATACGCAAAGGACAAGGTAGGAGAAGTGCTATCTGCATATGTGGTGCTGAGCTCCAGAATGAATGTGTTGGCAGGACTGAGGTCACAGCAAGATGAGGCCAGCACAGGCTCTCTGTAACACACAGGACATACCCCAGATGAGAGAGACTTCAATTAAAGTGCAGAAGAAAAGAAGAATTAACTTCCAAACCTCCAAAGCATAGGACTTTGTAGCAAGAGGAACCTTCACTGCAGACACCCGGCAAAAAAGAAGGAACAAACAGGACATACGTTGCCCAACAAGTTCTCAAATGCTTTGAAATTAACTTTGTTTATGTAGGAGATGAGAAGGAAAGAAAAAGAAAAAAAAATAAGAGAAAAAAAAACACAATAAAAGGAAGGCTCTTCTAGTTTAATTCTAACCAAAGGGGAACTGGCTAAGAACATGAAAGTGGAAACAACTTGGCTGACAAAAGGCATAAAAAGGTAACTCTCACAATTCCTCAGATGGGCAAAACAGAGAACCACAAAATAAAGAAAATTAACGGTAAACCACAAGCTATCTGAAACCCCAGCGAAAGATGTGAAGCTTACTGACAAATCATCATAGCTAAGTATAGGCTCCTTAATGATTTTGAAATTCAAGAGATTTTGCACAAGTGCAAATCAAATCACTGAAAGTCCCTTTACTAAGCATACAGCACAGTTCACAAAATAAGAAAGGTCAAAGCACCAGTAATGAAACTACTGGCAGGCAATATCAAAGGTAACATGAAAATATTCCTTCACAACATCTGCAGTGAAAGAGCAGTTAAAGTAGGAGTGCATTAACTCACTGTTCAGTGGGAAGGAAAATCCCTAAATAGATGATGCCAAAGCACTTGTGGCATTTTCTGCATTGATCTTCATTCACTAAAACGGATTAACTGGCTAATGTAACTCACATGACAGCAAAAGGAGCAAGAACTCCCAAGACAACAAAGTCAAGGCTCTGAAATTTCCCATACATGTTTATCAGCAAGCTTTAAACAGAAAGCATGATAAAGGCAATATGCTTCTGCAGACAAGAAGCTTCCATAAACTGATGGACTATATTCAGGTGTTACAGTAAAGAGAGAGTACTTCAAGTTTTTCAAATCTGATAGACATAATATTTACCCTTTGAAAACTGACTAAGGCAGTTATCAAAGATCATTTCTCCTCTCTGCATTAAGTTCCAACAGCGTGAAGAAGGGCAAAAGCACCTGCACAGAAGAAAGGAACCAAATACACAGTGAAACACAGACCAGTCAGGGATACCATCAGTCCCTGGGAAGATGCTGAAACAAATAACCAGACAAACAACTTATCTCCTGCATATTTCAGATAACGAAGCAGATAAGATCCCACACATAAATCATATCAAAAGAATATAATTTCTTCCAATGATGCAGTAACCATGTAAGTAGCAAAAGGGCAACTAGAGGCAATATAGTTTTGGTTTAACTGGACTCTTGACAGTCTTAAATTGATAGTCATGTAATCTAAACGAATACAGTACATACTGAAGTACTGAGAGATGAGTAGAAACCCAAACCTTGAGAAAACTTAGCTCTTTTTTCAGTCAAGAGAGAAAATAGGTAGCACGGCCATCCACATGGCTATAACCTTTTAGAATTCCCCACTATTATAAAAAGTAACTTGGGGGAGGGGTGCGGGGAAAGGGGAGGCCATTTACTGCAAGCAACTCCGTATTTTGCTCTTCCTCAGTTTGATTTCTTATAGCCACAAGCAATAACTTCAAAAATCTCTCGGAAAACATCTTGTCCACAAATTATCCATTGGAAAATATCAGCACAGATAAGTCTTTTTCTTCAGTTAGCAGAGAATAATCTGGAACAGTTACAACCGCTTGGATGGAAGGACTTAGAATCCAAAGTGATTTGAAGCAAGTGCAAAAGTCACCTGAAGCAGTATGTAGCTTGACAGAGCAGAACAGTAAGAATAATCAGCCGTGTAACAGCACAGTGAAGACAAACATAAACACTGTTCTGCCCAGAAATATACTGAGCAGCAAAGTGCTAAAGAATCCGGTGTTTATGCTAAACATAAGTCGCATATCACACAGGAAAAAAAAAAAATCAAAAAATCCTTAAAGACTCATTGTCCTATTGAGACGTATGAAATGCAGATATCATATGAAAAGCATATTAAATAATTTTGATTCTGCCTCTTGTACTCATGATTCAGAGCACTCTGTCCAGTTCCAGTGCTCCAGAAAAACGCAAACCAAGTGGAAAAAACTCAAGAAAACCAATGAGAACAGCCCACAAATGTAAAAAAAAAGAAAGAAATAAAAATCACTCAAGAGACTGAAAGAACAGGATTTCTTAAGTGTTGAAAACACCAAAGAGAAAGCCCCCAAAACATGTGACACATTCCTGCAGAAAACATGTAATAAAGAGTTTACAAGGTGTATAAAACACGTTAGAATTCCTAAATGCTTAAATTAGGAAAATAAATTTAGATTAGAAATTAGGATTTTTAATGGCAAGAACAGCAAATTACTCAAATAGGTTGCCTAGGAAGGGTAAATCTCCATCAGAAACTTATGTTAGCTCTTTTGTTTTGAGAACTAGTTAAATATTCCTTCCTTACACCTGAAACACAGTGAATTTATGAAAGAACAAATGTCAATTACCTCCACTTTTCCCCTCATACTTCATTCACAGGTGCCTCATCTGAGCTTCCACCTTCCAGATTATTTATTACGAGAATTTACTGACCACTACAAATAAATTACTTCCAGCATGAAGGGCCTGTAAAATCATACGGAAGCAATAATAAAAACACAACCTTAAAGGAGGTATTGCAAGGATATTACAGAGTAAAAGTGACCCACTAGAACTGCATCAAGATGGAATTCACAACAAAACCAAAGAAATTCAGTGATCCTACTTACACAGTGACTTCAGCTTTACCCATACACGTCTGCCATAAAGCAGTGATGCTCAGCTGCACAGACACCCTTTGCTGGGAAGGTAAAGGAGGGACTAAGAAGACCTTGCTGTGTCCAGGTAAGGTCAATCTGGGTGGGCCTGTCAATCTGGTAGCTGTTTCCCAGCAAGCACCCTGCAGAGACACTAGCTGCCTCAACCCAGGGCTACATAGATCCAGACTCAATTTGGTGTTGGATAAAACACTTGCCAAACACAGGAGTTAAAACAACAAGAGCTGGGGCAAGAAGAGACAGTCTTCGTGCAGCTGAGAAGACACAAGGAAACCAAGACAAAGATATCAACCCCAAATATTGTGTCAGCAGTTGGACCCAGTACAGCACAAAACATGACTAATTTTCTCAAGTAAAGCTCAGCTATGAAAAAAAAAAAAAACAAACAAACACTTAGAACCAAAGCAGGAGAGCAAACTAACACATGCTGTCCTCTGCTGGAAGTGGCTCTAGAGGAGCTTGAAAGCAGAAGATCATCAAGACCACTACCCCTTTGATCTTCACTGGAATACAAGATAAAGGCATCATTTTAAAGCTGCACAGCCTTGTCTAAAAGCTTCTGAACTCCAGCTGAAGCTGCTCTTCCATGCAGCCAGCATCACTGTCACCAAAGGAGCTCTCCTGACGCTGCCCTCTCCTACACCACCACTACCAAGAAACCATCCGGACTCTCCCACACATCTTCACTCATGGAAGCAGAAGCGCTTGTGTGGCTGTAGAGAACATGACCAAATGAAAACTAATGCTTTTTTCTAAGAAAACTGCATAAATCCTTTGCTGCAATCCAGTTCACTTGCAACACTTATGTCAACTTCAATAAAGTTTTCAGGGTGCATCTTTTGTGTGTAATTCATGTGCAGTTTAAAAATATAAACAGCTACTGCAGTAGGAGTCTTCTACTGCACGTATCTAGAAACAAGAGTAGATCCTTTAAAACTTCCACACCAACTAAGAAAAATGTCCAGATGTGAAAGTGAGAGTTCAAACTATTTGTGACTTACATCAGCTACAGCCTGTGGTGGGAATTATCTAAGTGTTCATTTTGGGGGAAAGAGAAATGAAAGTTATGACTCTCATTGAAAAAAAAAAAAACAAAAAACAAAAACAAAAACAAACCGAATGAGTAAACAGCACCATCAGCACAGGTTTACAGGGGGATTTTCCAAACATTTAAACCAGCATCAAACCTTCAGACAAAGCATAACTCATCAGGAGAATTCACATGCCAGAAAAACGAACAAACAAAAACCTTATTTTTTCTTCCTCCTTAATTACCCAAACACTGTATTAGATACAAACAAGAAATTTTTACGTTGATGAGAAAAATATTTTTCTCTACGTTTCCCATTTCATAGGCCGAACCCCACACGCCTTCGGGACAGGAGCCGAGTAGTATGTGTTGCCCTCCTCCCTGGCATTTCACTAGAGATGCAGCCGAAAACAACGCTTTAGACCCACCCACATCGCGATCCGGCCCCCGGCCCGAAGACCAGCCGCTGGCCACGGCGCTCCCCCATGGAGAAGCAACCGGGGGCCCGGGCCGCCGCACAATCGCCCCGTTGGGCTGGGGTCACCGCCACCCCCAGACCGGCCCGGGGAGTGGCCGCTCCCCCAGGTCCCGCCGCCCGGCACCACCCCCGTGCCCAGGCCGGGAAGCCTTTCCCCTCTTCCCTCACCACGGCCGTTTCCCTCCGGTCCCCCCAGGACTGGACGGCGGCCCCACTCACAGCGTGTGTCCGCAGACGTTCACCATTAGCTTCAAGGAGGGGTTGCGGTACTTGGTGGTCTTGCACCGCGGGCAGCCCAGGTCATCCATATCCATGGCCATGGCTGCAGCCACCTCCCTCTGCCTCCCCCCCGGCTCCCCTCCCGCTGCCTCCATCCGGGCCTTCCGCCTTCCGCCGCGCCGTGCCTCTGCCAAAGGGGCCCGCCGGCACAGCCCGCCGCCCCGCTCGTTCCGCCTGCCGTGGTGCTCGGCCCGCCCCGCCCCGCTCCGCACCCCTCCCGGCCACGACCACCGCCAGGCAGAGCCAGCCGGCGGCCCGGGGTGGCTGGGCCAAGCAGGTACGAGCTGCACCGGGCAGCACCTGCCTGGCGTTGGGGAGGAGGAGCGGTCTGTTCTGTCCCGAGAGCTCCGGCTGTAACCGGGGGGGGGGCCCTCCCCCATAATGAATAATCAACAGGAGGCCGAGGTGCCGTCCCTCACCCCGGGTAACCACCGCCTTGCCCCTGCGAGTTTGGACTCTCCACACACGAGGCTGGGCGGCTCAGGTGAGGGGACCTATGGCCACCGCCCGCCTCCCTTCGCCCGCGGGGCGTCCCTGCAGCGGGACTCCGCTCTCCAGGTGGAGGTGGGGAGGGGGCAGAGGAGCGGAGCGGGGCCGTTTGATTGACGGTTGCCCTGGAGACGCGAGAACCCCCGCCCCCCCGGCGCGGCGCAGCCAATGGGCGGGCGCGGCCGGGCCAGCAGGCTGCGGTGCCATATAGTATTGCAGCGGGGCTGGGAGTCACGTTGGGGGGAGCTGCGGAGAGGAGCCTGTTTATACTACTTTGCTATAGCAGCTATCTTTAATGGTTACTGCGTGGCCGGGAGGAAACCTGATCGGCTAGAGCCGGCCGAGAGCAGGAGGAGGAGTGGACTTTACAGAGAGATAGGAAGGGGGGAGAAGGGGACGGGGGGAAGAAAAAAAAAAAAAGAGAAAGAAAAAAAACCAAACCGAAGTATGTCTTCTGCCTCCCCCACGGACGAGATCACGAGCGCGGTGGAGATCAAGCAGGAAAATGTGATGGAAATCCTCTCTGAAGCCAGCAAGGTGTCCCCCGATGGGGCCGCGGCTGGAGCCCTCAACTCGGCACCGCCGCCGCCGCCCCCTCCCGCCGCGGCCCCGTTCCCTATGGAGCACACGGGCTCAGCCGCCGCCGCGGAGGAGGGAACCGCAGACCAGGTACTGCTCCATACGGAACTCCTGGCCAGGAATCACCACGCTGCCTCCTCTCCCTCTTCTTCTTCTTCTTCTTCCTCCTCCTCGCAGACCCCCCTGGCTTTCTCCCCGGACCACGTCGCCTGCGTCTGTGAAGCACTGCAGCAAGGTGGGAACCTGGACCGCCTGGCCAGGTTCTTATGGTCTTTGCCCCCGAGCGATCTGCTACGTGGCAACGAGAGCCTAATGAAAGCCCGGGCGCTGGTGGCTTTCCACCAGGGCATCTACGCCGAGCTCTACAGCATCCTGGAGAGCCACAACTTCGACTCCTCCAACCACCCGCTCCTTCAGGAGCTCTGGTACAAGGCTCGCTACACCGAGGCGGAGCGAGCCCGGGGCAGACCCCTGGGGGCGGTGGACAAGTACAGGCTGCGGAGGAAATACCCTCTGCCTAGGACGATTTGGGACGGCGAGGAGACCGTCTACTGCTTCAAGGAGAAGTCCCGCAACGCGCTGAAGGAGCTCTACAAGCAGAACCGGTACCCCTCGCCGGCCGAGAAGCGCAACCTGGCCAAGATCACTGGGCTGTCCCTCACCCAGGTCAGCAACTGGTTCAAGAACCGCAGGCAGCGGGACCGCAACCCTTCCGAGACCCAGTCCAAAAGGTGAGGGCAAACTTTCCTCCCCGCCCCCTCTCCCGCCTGCCTTCCCTCTCCCGGCTCTTTCTTCCCTTGCAAACATGGCGCTTACCTTCAGTGCGCCTCGTCCTCCCCTCCTTCCTCCTCCCCGCTCCCTCGCTCCCACACACCCACCCGGCCCGGGCACGCAGGCACGCGAGCCGCGCCGAGACAGCGCGGGGAAACTTCCCGGCCCCGCCGCCCTCTTCATGGCCCCGCTGCTCATTCCTTCCCCCCGGCCCGGGAGCCCGCGGACACCGGCGGCGCGCTCTGGCTCCGGGGAAGGGACTGAAGGGGGGAGTGTTTGTGTCCCCCCACTCCTTGTTTTTATTTAATTGTCGCGCCTGACAGAGTTAATCATTGACGCGGGCGCAGGACGCGCGGGGTCCCGCCGCTCGCTCTGTTTTGAAACCTGACTCGGGAGCGGGCCGGGCTCGGGTTTCAGCGGGGGAGCGGGGCCGGGCGCGCCGGGCCTCAGCTGTGGCTCTGCCGAGCTCGGCTCGCCGCAGGCCTCTCTCTCCAGCCCCGCAGCCGTTCGCTCCTCGTGGGGCGGGAGAGCCTCCCCTACCCGGCCCCGCTCCGCCCGCGCCCAGGGATCCGCGCTCCCCCCCGTGTGTCCCTCCCCGCTGCCGGAGGGGCCGCGGCGGGGGCTCGGCGCCGGGAGGCAGGCAGGTGGAGGTGACCTCCCCGCTCCCGCCCCCCTCCTTCCTCCCGGGGTAGGGACGGGAAGGGAGGGGGGAGGAAGGGAGAAGGGAGGAAAGGAGGGGGAAAAGCGGCGCAGGGCCCCAAGGCATTTCTCAACCAAGGGCGCGATTGTGCCGCCGCGGCCCCCTCTCCGCGGGACACTTCAAAGGCCGAGCCCCGAGGGGGAGGGAGCGACCGAAAAATGCAGTGGAGGGAGGGCCAGTCAGAAAACATCAACCCGGCGCAGCTCCGGGCGGAGGGGCTTGGCGGGGCCGGGGCGGCCCGCGGGGCACGGCGTAAAGGCCGCCCACCAGCCCCCTGCTCAGCTCGAGGCGGCCGGTCTGGGGTGGCGGGGTCTGGGGGTCGGGCGGCGCTTCCCGGCCTGCTTTCTCTCACCTCCCGGGGATTTACCAAATGGCTGCGGCCCTTCTCACACGTGTGGGCACGCGGGGCCGGTGGAGGGAGGCCCGAGGCAGCCCCCTTCGGTTGCCCGGATCGGATGGGGGGAGGGAGGGAGGGAGAGATTTAGGGTTAGATTTAACCCAGGCTGTAAAGTTTCTCTTAAGCGAAAGTTTGGTTTGCCCTTTCCTAAGAAACCTTCCCCTTGACTTGAAACTCATTTGAAAGTGCCTTGCAAAGGCAAAACAAAACAAAAAAAAACCTCTTTGGGAAAACTCTCACAAACTGTATCAAAGCAAGGAGTCCTCCTTGCTGCAGAGCTTGCTGGCACGCCGTGGTAATGCAATGTCATCTCTCCATCTTTTCCCATAGTGAGTCAGATGGCAACCCTAGCACAGAAGATGAATCCAGTAAGGGGCAGGAGGATTTATCTCCCCATCCACTCTCCAGCTCATCTGATGGCGTTACCAGCCTCAGCCTTCCTGGCCACATGGAGCCCGTCTACATGCAGCAGCTTGGAAACACTAAAATAGCCTTGAGCTCATCTGGTGTCTTGTTGAATGGAAACCTCGTGCCTGCCAGTACCTCTCCTGTCTTTCTCAATGGTAGCTCTTTTCTTCAGGGACCCAATGGTGTCATTCTCAACGGACTCAGCGTGGGGGCTTCACAGACTGTTACCTTAAATTCGCCAAAAACCACATCAAGTGTCGTGAGCAACGGGGTATCCATTACTGATATACTGTCATCTTCATCAGAGGATGTTAAGGACTTCAAACTCCTTCAAGCTTCAGTCCCCAATGCCACAGCAGCCACCTTCAGCCCCAGCAACATCCCAGTCTCATTCCCAGGATTGATACCAAGCTCAGAGGTGAAAAGGGAAAGCGTACAAACTGCTGCTTCAGAAGATGGAGGCTCTGTTGTTACTTTTACTGCTCCTGTCCAAATAAACCAGTATGGCATTGTCCAGATCCCCAATTCAGGAACAAATGGCCAGCTGCTGAACGGAAGCATTGGTTTTTCTTCTCTGCAGCTGCCTCCTGTTTCTGTGGCAGCTTCACAAGGTAAAAGTTTTGTCTCTTACAGTAAAAGGTATGAGAACAAGTTGGAATCAGGCACACTTAGCATTTTAGAAGCTGTGGTACACTTCCTCCAAGGTACTAGGATTGAATCTCAACCATGGCTACACACAGTACATCAAAAGATACCTTTTGGCTTCCTTTATAGTGGGTTATGCTCAGAGCAGACTGTGACATGAGGCTGAGCTCCTCTTGGAAGAGCAGAGAAGGAGATCTGGTAATTTACACCCCTTTCATCTCGTGCTGTTCTCAGAAGTCTGTGATACTGGTCTTCACAAATATCTGTAAATTTTACACATTTCAGTAATTCAAAATATTTCCCATTTGCCACTGATTTCTTTTAATGAGAAGGCTCACAAGAATGAAAATTGCAGCAGCTGGAAATTGTTACCATCATTGTTCTTCTGGTGGTTGTTTTGGCTTTTTGGTTTGGTTTGTTGTTTTGTTTTTGTTGTGTTTTTTTGTTTTTTCTTTTAACCAAAGTATTTCATAAAAGCAAATTTTCAATGACTGTAGACACAATATGACCAAACAGTTATGTTGGTACATTTTCTGTCCTCTAATTAAGAAAGATTAAACTGCAGGGAAACAATAGAAATAAGCAATAGCTCTTAGATACGAAATGTGAGGGTATTTGGATAGAACTGCATTCAGTCCAAGGGAAATAAGTCATCGCAGGTTCATGTGCCAAGTGTGCAGGCTCCTCCCCAAGTTTGCTTTAGAGTTTGTCTTAACATATCATAGACTGAAACTTGTAGCCAGCCAGGAAGAATCCCAGGGAGCACAAGCCTTGTTCTCGGATCCTTGTTTTGAAGCAGGTTATAAAGCACAACCAAACAGCTTTATTACTCATTAGCCACAATATCTTTGGTTATGAAAATGATTAAACTTCTATGAATCTCTCTACTTTCAGGAGCTGTGAGTACTGTAATGAAAATGAAACTGTGCTCACATTAGCTTATTTGAATTAAATGTGTATAGAGAGCCAGTGATTCTTGCTGTGATATGGGAAGGAACACTAAAGGTATACAAACACATTTTAAATGGATGCACAATTATTAGATCCTACAATGTGACACACATGGTCACTGGAAGTTACTGGTACATAGTTAACCAAGATGGAAAA